ACCTAGTTTTTCATCCGACATGACCAATGTTCGAACTGACTTGAGATATCACCTAGACAAGCATCCTGACCAAGTTTGATGATGATTGATGCAAAAATGTGACCACTAGAGTGTTAACAAGGTTTTTCTATTTTTAGCTCCGGTGACCTACTTTTTCATCCGAGATGACCCATGTTCGAACTCATCCGAGCTATCACCTAGACAAACATCCTGACAAAGTTTGATGATGATTGAGGCAAAAATGTGACCTCTAGAGTGTTAACAAGGTTTTTCTATTTTTAGCTCTTGTGGCCTAGTTTCTCATCCGAGATGACCCTTGTTTGAACTCATCCGAGCTATCAACTCTATAAGCATCCTGACCAAGTTTGATGATGATTGAGGCAAAAATGCGACCGCTAGAGTGTTAACAACTAAATGTGAATGAAAAAATGTGACCGCTGGAGTGTAACCAAGGTTTTTCTATTTTTAGCTCCGGTGACCTACTTTTTCATCCAAGATGACCCATGTTCGAACTCATCCGAGCTTTCACCTAGATAAGCATCCTGACCAAGTTTGATGATGATTGATGCAAAAATGTGACCGCTAGTGTTAACAAGGTTTTTCTATTTTTAGCTCAGGTGACCTACTTTTTCATCGGAGATGACCCATGTTCGAACTCATCCGAGCTATCACCTAGACAAGCATCCTGACCAAGTTTGATGATGATTGAGGCAAAAATGTGACCTCTAGAGTGTTAACAAGGTTTTTTCTATTTTTAGCTCCTGTGACCTAGTTTCTCATCCAAGATGACCCATGTTCGAAATCATCCGAGCTTTCAATTAGATAAGCATCCTGACCAAGTTTGATGATGATTGAGGCAAAAATGCGACCGCTAGAGTTTTAACAACTAAATGTGAACGGACGGCGGACGACAGACGACGGACGACGGACAATCATCGATCCTAAAAGCTCACACTTAGCATGCTCAGGTGAGCTAAAAAACCTTTATATGAGAAAAAAACATACTACATGTATATGTATACCGGCTCAATAATGACAAAGTTATATATTGTACAAAACTTTTGCATTCATACCATTAGGAGATAATGTGTTAAGCTTATGAATCCAGTATGATTCTTGTAATAAGCGTTCCATATCATCGGAGACAATCTCTATGGGCATAAATTTAAAATCCTTAATACAATGATTAGTTTTATTGAAGTGTGTAGCGACATTGGTTGAAAATAACGAATCGGAAAAATTGTTGATATCAAACCTATGGCTATTCATGCGTTTAGACACTTGTTGCTTTGTTTGACCAACATATTGCTCTTAACATTTATCACAAGTGACATAAAATCTTGCGCTAGAGTTGTAAACCTTGTCACATATTATGTGGTTGATAACTAGAAACTTATATTTAAAGTTTGAAGAAAATACCTTTTTTTTTTTAAATTCAGTCTATTTGTTGCCATAGCAACCAGAATTTTCAACATAGGAAGAAAAGAAAAGGATGTACATAATCTCTAGACTGCCATCTACCCATATTTCAAGTTTCATAAAAATATTTTCAGTACTTTTTGAGTTATCACTGGATCCAAGCTTTGTGTAAAATTTGCCATATTTTCAGTCTATTTGTTGCCATAGCAACCAGAATTTTCAACATAGGAAGAAAAGAAAAAGACGTGCATAATCAGCATACTGCCATCTATCCATATGTCAAGTTTCTTAAAATTATTTCCAGTACTTTTTGCGTTACCACTGGATCCAGGTTATGTGTAAAATTTGCCATATTTTCAGTCTATTTGTTGCCATAGCAACCAGAATTTTCAACATAGGAAGAAAAGAAAAACACGTGCATAATCTCCATACTGCCATCTATCCTTATATCAAGTTTCATAAAAATATTTTTAGTACTTTTTGCGTTATCGCGGGATCCAGTTTTGTGGACGGACGGAGGGTAAACCTAAAGTCCCCTCCAGTAAACCGGTAGGGGACTAAAAAGCAGGCAACATATCCAAAGGGTGATTATACAGTTTTCAAGTAGGATTACTGGAACAACCCAAATTGAAAAAGGCCAAATACAAGAAACTAAAAATACCATCTAAAATGTAAACAGAAAAATAATGTCGTGCTGAACGATCATCAAGGATCGAAAATCTAAACTGCTCTTCACTGGTGTCCCCGTATTGTACTACCGCTAACGGTGGGCCAATAGCGATTACCTTTCTACCTGAAGTGGACGACAATTGATGACCCATGTTCAAATTTATCCGAGCAATTATCTAGACAAGCATCCTGACCAAGTTTGATGACAATTAAGTCAAAAAGGTTTCCCATATTTGAGCAGTGTGTCCTAGTTTTTAACCCCAGATGGCCTATATTCAAACTTGACTTTGAGATCATCAAAAACTTTCAGACGAATTTCTAGGATATTTGGATCAAGACAGTAGCCACTAGTGTTAACAAGATTTTTCTATTTTTAGCTCCTGAAACCTTGTTTTTCATCCGAGATGATCCATGTTCGAACTCATCCGAGCGATTACCTAGACAAGCATCCTGACCAAGTTTTATGACAATTGAGTCAAAAATGTGACCACTGGAGTATTAACAAGGTTTTTCTATCTTTAGCTCTCCGAGATGACCCATGTTCAATCTCATCCGAGCAAGGTGGGTCAAAATTGTTAGATATTTGGCATCCTGGCCAAGTTTGATGACAATTGAGTAAAAAATGTGACCACTAGCGTTAACAAGGTTATTCTATCTTTAGCTCCTGTGACCTAGTTTTCATCTGAGATGACCCATGTTCGAACTCATCCAAGCAATTACATAGACAAGCATCCTGACCAAGTTTGATGATAATTGAGTCAAAAATGTGACAGCTTGAGTGTTAACAAGGTTTTTCTATTTAAGCTAGCTTTGCCATTATTGTGTTCAATTTTATACTAGTATTTGACTTGAAACAATATTGCATTTGTGAAAAATGCTATGCCACCGCATTAATACAACACTAAAAAGTACGAACATGATTTGTTTTGTTTCTATACCATAATGCATAGATCCCTGACCTATCTAATTCTTATTATCAGATTAGTGGATACAATAACAATTTCACAACAACCTATTTGTTAACAAAAGAGCATGTGTCAATGTTTGTGGTTAAATTTATTGTTATAGTCTGATTTTATTGACCTGTCAATTATCAATACATTATAGCACTCATTTAAATATTCGATCCCACTTCGGGTTTGTCCGTTTATTTTACGAGAATTTATATGGAGTATATAACTAACATTTTGAAAACTCCCACTAGCTTAATGTAGATTCTCGTGAAATCCACAACAGCACAGTCGGTTAAGTGATTACCTTATGTATGAGAGATTCGAAGTTCGATCCATTCTTTTTAAATTCTTTTTAGGCTTATTCTTTCTTTATTATGCCCCCGCCATGTAATGGCCGGGGCATATAGTGTTACCCTGTTCCGTCATTCCGTCCTTCCGTCCTTCCGTCCTTCCGTCATTCTGTCATTCCGTCATCATCAGTTTCCGTTCATTATCTTAAGAACGGTTAGACATATTCAACTCAAATTTGACATATGGATATGTCATGAGAAAATACAGGTCAAGTTCGAATTTGGTCATGGTTCGATGATTTTTGGCAGAGTTATGCCCCTTTTACTTTGAAAATAATATGAAATTTCAGTTTCCGTTCATTATCTTAAGAACGGTTGGACACATTCAATTCAAACTTGACATATGGATATGTCATGAGAAAATACAGGTCAAGTTCGAATTTGGTCATGGTTCGATGATTTTTGGCAGAGTTATGCCCCTTTTACTTTGAAAATAATATGAAATTTCAGTTTCCGTTCATTATCTTAAGAACGGTTGGACACATTCAATTCAAACTTGACATATGGATATGTCATGAGAAAATACAGGTCAAGTTCGAATTTGGTTTATGGTTCGATAATTTTTAGCAGAGTTATGCCCCTTTTACTTTGAAAATAATATGAAATTTTCAGTTTCCGTTCATTATCTCCCCAATGGTACAACACAATCAACTCAAACTTGACATATTGATATGTCATGAAAAAATACAGGTCAAGTTCGAATTTGGTCATGGTTCGATGATTTTTGGGAGAGTTATGCCCCTTTTACTTTGAAAATAATATGAAATTTTCAGTTTCCGTTCATTATCTCCCTCAAGGTACAACACATTCAACTCAAACGTGACATATGGATGCGTCAAAGGAATGCGCAGGTCAAGTTCAAATTTGGTCATGGTTCAATGATTTTTGGCAGAGTTATGCCCCTTTCACTTTGAAAATAATATGAAATTTACAGTTTCTGTTCCTTATCTACCCAACAGTGTCACATATTCAACTTTAATTTGACATATGGATATGTCAAAGGAATGCGCAGGTCAAGTTCGAATTTGGTCATGGTTTGATGATTTTTTGGCAGAGTTATGTCTCTTTCACTTTGAAAATAATATAGATACATCTTAGGAATAAGCAGTTTAAGTTTGAATTTGGTCATGGTTCAATGATTTTAGACAAACTTATCTTTCCTGAATGTTGGAAAAATTTTGAACTTTCAGTTTCACCACTCATTCTTTTAGCCATTATTTTGGCTACAAATATGCAATATGCTATTTCTAAAAGGTTAAGACTGAATAAGTTCAGTGCTTTGAACATTGTATGGAAATAGTTTGTGTTAACATTGAAAAGTTTTAAGGGCTTTGAACTTAAAATGAAAAAAATAATTAAAGCACCATCTGAAATTTTGGCTGCATGCGGGGGCATCCGTGGCATGATGACACATTTCTAGTATTTAAGTATATTTTAATGAAAGTTGTCAAGCGTTTGAAAAATTGTCTACACGGATATGAAACAACTAAGAGACATTGAATTGTAACGTTTTGTATTGTATTTCATCCTACATATAAACTCACTAATGGGCCCCACAGAGAGAAGACGCAGCTATCAGCAGCCAGTGGTCTAACGAGGCATTAGCAGCTACGGTCAAGACGTATAATTGAAGTTCTTAATTAAAGTAAAGCGTATTATATGTTTCACAAGATTTGATTTAATTTGTTTTTATTTCGGACTTTAAAGTGAGGTTTATTGTGGATATTATTATTAAGCAGTTAAAAATAGTGTGATAACAGGTATGTTTACTTTATTTGTGTATGTTTGTATTTTAAGTTAATACCTAAAAATGATTTACCTGTTCTTAAAAAAAAATCTTTTTAAGTCTGAAAACAACAGACGATATATTTATTTTAGTTACATATTATATAACATATTATATAATGTCTAAATAGCCAATTTAATCTGAACACCACAGTCAAAATACGACATTTGTTCAGGATAATGCTTAAGTTGTCTATACAAAATGTCTGAACACCACAGACAAGGCAAAATACAAATGTTCGTAATTATGCTGATCCAAACACAATGGAACAGCCTTAATTGTCTGAACACCACAGACAAAAGATACATTTGTTCATAATTTTGCTTATCCAAACACCATGGAAAAGCTTAAATTGTCTGAACACCACAGACAAAAGATAAATTTGTTCGTAATTTTGCTTATCCAAACACCATGGAAAAGCTTAAATTGTCTGAACACCAAAGACAAAAGATACATTTGTTCGTAATTTTGCTTATCCATACAACAGGAAAAAGCTAAAGATGTCTGAACACCACAGACAAAAGATACATTTGTTCGTAATTATGCTTATCCAAACACCATGGAAAAGCTTAAATTGTCTGAACACCACTGACAAAAGATACATTTGTTCGTAATAATGCTTATCCAAACACCATTGAAAAGCTTAAATTGTCTGAACCCCACAGACAAAAGATACATTTGTTCGTAATTATGCTTATCCAAACATGGAAAAGCTTAAAATGTCTGAACACCACATACAAAATACATGAACATATTTGTTGTAGTAGGGAGAGTCCAAGCAACATCGCATACAAAAATTGAAAATTAATAAATAAAAGAATTATATAAAAAAAAAAAAAACGTCTGAACACCACAGGCAAAATTTACGTTAGTTCACAATAATGCTTGCCAAACACCATGGATTATAATTATTTTCTTTCGAAATATATATATTATTGTCCATGCACTTCGGTCTTCGTTTGCATACCACTGTCGAATTAATGTATCTATTTGACGGTGTTATTTACGATTGATTGCGATAAAATTGTTATCGTTTATGTCTATTTCTAACGCGATTTTTTTATTGAACGAATAGGGCCCGTAAGTCTCGTTTACTTTCACTTTCGATTTACCACTTCCGGGTACATCGGCAGACTTATTTACCGTTACGCATATAGGTAACCCGAAGAACTCGAGGGGTATAGAAGTTAAATTTGTTTCGGTCCTCTTCAGATTTGAAGGAATGGATAGCACGGGTCAAAAAATGCAGGTAGGTCAATTATCTGACGGAAAAACGAGGGATTATAGAGTTTAATAAAACTAGTTTATTTTCGGATAGTGACAATTGTTTCGGATGTTTTGTCAAGGTAGTGAATTCTAGTTGTTTAGCTTTTAGTATTGTTTTAAAACTACTGATGTGAGAAATTAATTCAAACCATTGTAACTTGTTGAAATAAACAATGGAGAAACATTTTAATTCTAGTGTATATTAAAGTTATACAAAATTCGGACATTGCACAGTAATTCGGATATTTTTTCCCTTCCATTTTATTCTTGTTCCTTTTTCAGTTATATATACATGTTAATATGGTACCTAGCAAATTATGATTGATTTAAAAATATTATATTTTGATTAAACCATTTCAGATGTATAGACAAGGAGGTATATGACAAGTATAGAATATACAGTTTGTTCAATATGGACCATTAATCAACTGTTTGCACTGCCTATGATCCTGAAATATCTATACATCAAAGGTAAATACATGTAAAATAATTGATTAATTTTTAGTTGAGATTGGAAAGATAAACAATTATCCAAATATATTAATAACTTGGATTTCACTGCATGATAATTGATAAGTAAATAAACACATTAAAAATAGTCATGTTTCAAATTCAAGAAGATCAATATTTTTGACTGTTATATATTATGTGTTGTTGTTTATCTTTAATGTTTATTTACTTCAAATATGAAATTTTTCTGTCAATCATGACCAGCTTATTAAATGTAATGTAAATATCATTTCTAGTGTCTTACACTTGTAACAACATATTTATTGATTTTTCATTCTGCAGGTAAAAAGGGAAAAAGATGAAGGAGGATTTGTCCATGAAGACCTTTATTGCAACTACCATCTTCCAGTTCCTTAATTTGAGAATGATATCAGAGAACACACAGTTACAGTGAAATATTAGTTTAATATAAGCCACTGAGAGTAGTCAAATGTACTTTCCTGAAGAAGATGAATGACATCCAGCACAAAAATCTTAATGTATAAAGAGTATGATTTTATGTATTTGACACTATGAACATGTTAATGTCACAATGATAGAAACAGAGTAAAATATCCACATTTCATTGCAGTTTTAAGTATTAAAACTAGATACTCTATATATACCAAAGCTGATAACACACCAGAGATAAGGTTTTTCATGGAATCACAGTATAGTCATATGACATTATGGTCATTAAATGACTATGAAGTAAAGATTAGCAAAAATATTATATATCATCTACTACTAATATTGTGAGGTAATCATTGATAAGCTCACAAATTTGCATTCAAATCTTTGATATCAAGCTGAACATTTTTCAATTAGAATATGATTTATAACTCTAATGACTATGATAATTTGTTCATGTTAATTTTCAAAGTCTTTACATTTGTAAAAGGAAATATTCTTATTCTTGTATCAGTAGACATTCACAGTGTAAAGTTACATTGTCCAAATAACTAATAATAAATCCAAGTGCTTTCCTGAAGTTTTTCTTCCACTGGAAAATCAGTGTGATATATATGCTAAGCAGTGCACTATAAATTGTGTAAAAATAAAAGTTTATTAAACTTATGAACTGTTTTTGTTGTCTACTATTTGGCATATATTTATAGCAGTGCTTGATCATAAGAGTTCATCTGCAAAATAAGTGTCACTGTGTACTTTAATTCTCTAACAGCAATGGCTAGATTGCTTGAATATGCAAGCATTGACTATATTAAATACTATGCATGTCATTTGAATTTTTGTCTGTCCTTAAATCGAAACAGATACTATCTAAATAATATTGATGAAAAATCTTGACAGCTCTTCAATGACTACATTTACACATATGTACATGGACAGAAGTTAAAAGCATTGTGTGGTGTTTTTTTTTTGTTTTTTTTTTTAAACATTGACAATTTTGAAACAGTTTCCAATGGGTATATTAATGTATCAGTGATGTAATTGTTTTGTATCAAGTGCAAACCCTAAGTTTTCATGTATTGTATAGATAATTCACTTTTGGTCAAATGTCAACAGGTTCAATACATTATAAAACAGGTAATTTGAAACCCAAAGAAGTATATGGTATGTAATAACTACCCCTCTGATACTAAAATCTTCAGGGAATGCAGAATTGCAAGTCTTCTCCAATTAAGAGAGAGACTTGGGCTTACAAGGGCTAGCAAGCTAGTGTTTTGCTACAGAATACTCAACACAGATGAATTGCATTAATATTGTTTACTCTGGTATTACTACCTGCCATGTACAATGCAAATCATGGCTTTTCTAAGAGCAGTGAAAGGATATAACTGGAAGGAATTTTACACATTTTGCCTCAGAAACAAGTTTTTCTTTGAGATGATTTTTATGATATTTAAATAATGGTTAAAGATTACATTATTTTTACAATTGCAGTGATCATGGTGATAATATGAAATGAAACTCAATCAAGATAGAAACATTTTAATGCTGAACATTTATCTTTTTACCATTCCTGTTACTTTACAAGTCTATTTATAACAAATTTATCTTAACTGTTTTGAAACTACATGATGCCTGGTTGAAACTCTTTTGGGCAGCCATTTGCAGAAGATAAATTATCTTTGAATAATTAAGTTAATACAAAGTTACAAATGACAGGTTAATTATTTCTAATAAAGACAGGTTATTTATTTCTAACAAAGACAGATATTTTGTTTAACATTTTTACACTGACATATATCTTTGAAGTGTCTTCAACCTTAGTTTTTATTAGAATACAAACATTCAGTCAGACAGTATACACAAGACATGGACACGCCCGTTTAACTCACAACGAGTGAAAAATGTCCATCGGTAAAAATGTTGTGAGCAACTTCCGTTCCTCGTTGTGAGCACCCATCTATGACGAGTGACACGATAAACAAGGGGAGTTTTTCATAATTTTTGAAGATTACAGACATTTATGTTAAAATATCGGAATGCAGTTAGCTAGCGATGTGTTTTCCGAGTATGCACATGTAAAGATATTGTCTGTTGTTGGACAATTTGATGGAAAATACCGTGCGACGCAGTCACTCGGGGTAGCTGGAAAACTGGAGACAACTTCTCGTTGGACCTAATTTAACATTGAAAACGTCGATTCTGCTGACGTTTTGTGCATTCTAACCTAAAACAGATGCCCACAAGTCTTCAGCGTAAATTATTATCTGAAAGTCTTCGTAGAAACGAAGATATACTCTTTCTTGCTTTAATCCTCGTTGTGAGCACCATAACCTCGTTGTGAGAAGACAAGCGCAGTGCATGTCTGGTTTTTAATATGTAATTCAAATGGCAAGAATACAATTTTCAATCTACCAAAAGCAATCAAAACGTTTTTTTTACAATAGTTTTTCTTTGCAATAGTTCTTCTTTTTCTTTTTTTGAAAATTATTCTTCATATTCAACAAGTCATCATATTAACAGAAGAACTAATTAGTGGAGGTAAATCAGGTATTTTATTTCGTATACTCTAGTGTGGCACGAGTGAACATCACGGGGTGTTTATGAATATTTCAACAATTTCACAATCTCTGTGTGCACGCATAAACATGTGTTTATCCTGAGCTGAAAGACTGACCAAGTTATGTAAAAAAGAACTATCACGGTAAATTGACAGTGCCCCTGAAGTGGCGCTTTGTCCTTTGATTTATGGACCAGATAGATTATTTGTTTTTGGACAATAATTAGATCTTCAATGTGAAGATAATTCAATGTCAAGGTGAAATAAATATAGGTCAGTTGGAAGGTCTAGTCCAAAGGGGCATTGTGTTCAAATATTGAATTAATTCCACTTACTTATAAAGAAGTTATGGCCAATTTTAAAGTTTTTTTGGATTTCTAGAAGTCATTCACGGTACAAGGTAAAAGTACAGATCAGTTTGAAGGTCATGGCCTAAAGGGGTGTTGTTTTCAAAATAAGAGTAGAATCCGTATACTAATAAGGAAGTTATGACCAATTTTTTAAGTTTTTGGACAATTTGACTTTCAAGGTGAAGGTCATTCAGAGGTCAAGGTCAAAAGAATATAGGATAGTTGAAAGGCCTTGTCCAAAAAATGTATTGTGCCTAAGCATTATGCCAGGACAACATTATGGTCAATCTTAAATGTTTTTGGACAATTTGACCTTCAAGGTAAATGCCATTCAGGGGTCAAGGAAAAAATACAGTTCCGTAGGAAGGTGCTAAGGGATGTTGTGTTCAAATATGAATCAAATCCGTTTACTAATAAGGAAGTTATTGCCAATGTTAAAGTTTTCGGACAGATTAATTGACGGACTGACATACGGACAGTTCAAAACTAATATGCCTCTCCTTGGGGTATGCACAACGTCTTGCAAAGAAATGCTGCTGTGCAAAAACGTTTTAATTGCTTTGGTAGATTGAAAATTATATTTTCACCATCTGAAATTACATATTAAAACCATACACGCACTGCGCTTGTCTTGCTCACAACGAGGTTATGGTGCTCACAACGAGCATTATAAGCAAAAAAAGGGTATATCTTCGTTTCTATGAAGACTTTCAGATAACAATTTACACTGAAGACTTGTGGGCATCTGTTTTAGGTTAGAATGCACAAAAACGTCACCAGAATCGACGTTTTCAATGTAAAATTAGGTCCAAAGAGAAGTTGTCTCCAGTTTTCCAGCTACCCCGAGTGACTGCGTCGCACGAATATTTCCAACAAATTGTCCACCAACAGGCAATATCTTTACATGTGCATACTCGGAAAACACATCGCTAGCTAACTGCATTTCGATATTCTTACATAAATGTCTGTAATCTTCAAAAATTATGAAAAACTCACCTTGTTTATCGTGTCACACGTCAAATATGGGTGCTCACAACGAGGAACGGAAGTTGCTCACAACATTTTTACCGATGGACATTTTTCACTCGTTGTGAGTTAAACGGGCGTGATGGAGCTTTAAGAAGCTTTAATTCAGTCAAAATCTGTAATGGACTGCCATGTCTCTACCACTATGTACTCCAAGACTGTGTATGGACATTTCCTTTCAACTATGCCTGGTGGTATCACTATTTGACTTCTAATCTGCTGGTGAACACTCCAAAATAAATCAAGAGCCATGACAAGTACTCAAGATCCAACCAAGAATCACATACCTGTATATAAAGAAAATTTACCATGAGTTGAAAGAAAATAATAATTGGTCAGCTATAAATTTCAAGCATTTTCATATTGTCCATGAATAGAAAATAATGTTGAAAGGAAGAAACACTTCTTGGTGTCCTAGTTTAACTAAAAAATATGACCCACTCACTTGAGAAAAATACTTTAAACAGTATTTAACATGAATTAACTACATATGCCATACTGTTTGTTTATTTAGCTACACTGTAATTATTTACAAAAACGAGAACATTATATGTAATACAATAATATTTTTTTCATTATGTAGTTTAAGTAGCTTTAAGTATATTTTCTTACCAAAAACGATTTTAACAGCAGAGCATGGCATGTGTATTTACATCGGATACCAGTTCACATCTTTCATCTCACCACTGTCCTCAGTCTAAATACAGGAGCAAAATATTTCATTGAATTTTATGACAATTTAAATTGGTTATATACAGATTGACTGTTTTGCTTTATAAAGATAATAATTATAAATAAATAATCAGTTGGAAAGAAAATATATTCAACTAAAACACACTGATAATCATATTGCAACGTTTATCGAAATATGCGCTGTCCGAAATTTCTAAACATTATATACTTCTGAGAGATAATCAGTAGCGCTATAGAAAATTGATAAAAAATCAAATTCACCAGTCTGGTGTCAGATGCGAATGATGTTGTATCAAAAAACAAATTTATTAGATTTACATGGAAATGAAAAAATTATCAACATTATATTGGGATAAACTGAATTTGAAATGACACACCCACCTGAAGATTATACGAAGTTGTCTTTCATTGATACTTGTTCACAAGATGAAACCATTTGCATTTCGTTACAAAACAAAAAACTCTGCCATTTCCACATATCATTTGCTTTTTCCATGTAAGTTTTACTTTCCCATCGGCATACAAGTATTACCCAATATAGATAAGCAATGTTGTTGATGTTTGTTTGTTACCCCGGAAGTGCAAAATATCGTGAAATCTCGCAAGTCACATGGCGAGACTTACATACCCTATTTGCTAGTAATGGCTAGTCGAGTTCTGCTGTTTCAAAAACAATTATAGAGTCATGGGCGACGACCAGGAGATTTGAAACACGCCGTCAAACATTTCCAACATTCTTTCAACAAAATCGGGACACCAGCAGGATTTTCCGGTCAGTTAAAAGGCGTCCTAAATGCGATAAAAGGTTAAGCGGATTCTCTGACTGAAATGAGGTCTTTGGTTAATTCTTTGAAAAGACCTGCAGTTACCTCGTAGGAAACATGTTCAACACGTTTTTGTGCGAGCGATGATTGATATCCAGATGATGTGAACGTCGGAAACTTTTTCACAGAATCGGGTGTCACCGACGAAAATGATAACGATGCATTCTGCATGATGGATTTCTTCTAGGATGATTTAGAAACATCAGCAGTGATAAGTGACAA